CAAAATTCGAGCCAATCACCATTCAAGGATTCCGGTGTAACCAAAAATTCAGGGTCAAACTGAGGTAGGCAAAATTCTCCAGAAAAACCAGAAAAAAGTTTATACGCTTGAAAAGATAGGAGGAAGCTTGAGGAAGATGAAAAAAGAGTTCCAAAAACTGTGCCAGTCTTTTCTAGAGTCTTGAATCTCTGGAGGAAGAGAGGAGTGTATTTTTTCTACAAGTTCTTTTTCCTAGTGAAGTTTTCTTGCCTTTAACTTTGTAGATAGATGTTTTTTGTATTTACTTGCAGAAATACAGGAAGTTTATGTCAAAGAGAGAAGGAAACAAGTGGGAAGACTATTGTCTCTTGGTATGGGTGTTGTTAATGAAAGTGTATAGATTTTATTACAAGAAAATATAAAATTTCCTTGGAATATCTGTTTTTTTGTGTTGGCAAAAGGATCAGCAGTTCATTTATTATATTTCTTTTTCTTTATTATTTTATTAATTATATATATACCCCTACAATAAATTACTAGGATGAGTTAATATAATTGGCTGATCACAATGAAAAACTTTTTTTTAAAACATGTTTTCTTTCCAATTTAATTATGTTTACAAAAAATTCTTCTACATTTGTTTCTTCTATTTTATAATTTCCTGTTATACAATAAATATGAAATTCTAAGTTAAGCTCTCAACAACATGAACAAATAATTGACACTTATCTTTCTGATACAAAAGGTATTGTTATTGCCTTTAAATTTAATATATTTTCCTCAACCATTTATAATACAAAAAAATAATAAAAAAAAATGGATCCTACACTTTAACACACACACCAGAAGATCAAAATTCTTTTCTAAATATGATAAGTATTTATTGCTGTGCTTTATTAAAAAAAACTGTTTTGTACTCCTAGGCATCATATTAAAAGAGATTAATATCTATCTTAATATAGCATTTCACAACAATACAATTTGAACTTATTTACATGAAGCAGGGCTAGAGAGCCATGTAGCACAAGAAAAGCTGCTTTTATCAAATAAATAATGTTTAGCTTGATTTAGGTGGTGCAAAATGAAATATAATTGGAACAAAGAGTAGAAACAGATTACATGATTTGACAAATTACATTTTGTTTTATTTGAGTCTGACAGATGAGAGCAAGTTTGGTACAAGATTAGGAAAGCCTATAATATAGATTGTGTTAAACCTATCATAAAGTTTAATAAAAGATCAGTGATGTTTTAGAGTTGCTTTTCATAAAATAGTATTAACCCTTTAATGCCCATAGAATAAACATTGAATTCAGAAACTTACATAAACATTTTAGCTACCAATTTTATATCTTGAGTTCGTAACAGTCCAGGCACTATATTTTAGCAAGACAGTGTTACCTATCATACTGTTTCTTATATAACTTAATGGCTCAAATCATATACAATTCAAGTTTTAGGTTGAGTCACCCAAAGTCCTGACCTTAATCCAATCGAAAATTTGTGAAATTATTTAGATTGTCAAATTTGAAAAAGAAAATCTTTATTGACATTTGTACAAGAATTAATTAATGCTATATAAGAAAAATGGACAAAAAAAGCATAAAAATTGTAAGGCACTTGATTTTAGGTTTACTTCAAAAGGTTTAAGCCATTATTGCAGCTAAAGGCAGACATTCTAAATATTAATTTGTTATGCCTAAAATATATCAAAATAAATTATTAAGATAATAGTTTATTTTATTTTATATTGACTGTAAATAAATGAATAAAATAAAATAAAATTAAAAAAAAAAAATCGTCAACTCATGTGACAATCCCAGTAATTTATTGTAGGGGTGTGTATATAATTTAACAAATCAATAAATTTTAATTTTATTAATAATCAAATATTAATTTTTGATAAAATGAGGTTTTAAAAAAATATATATTAATTTATAATTGAAAATTAAACTGTATAAATTTAATTGATTAACCAAGTTATATAGTTTTATAACAAATAATTGATAAGTAAAATTATATTATATAAATTGATTTTGATTAATATTAAGTTTGAAAATCTTGAATTTTTTTTTCCACATAATGTAATACAATAGTTAATAAAAATACTACATGTAATTCAAAGACTTTTTGTAACAGATTATACAGTCAATTTGGTTAATTTAGTAAACTTATATAATATATTTTGTGATCAAATTTGATGCTATTTTTCATTTCATGTATAGAACCAATATTAATATTACTATAATTGAAAATAAGTGTTAAGAATCATTTTTGTTATCAAGCAAATATTTCTGTGTTGAAATCTTACGAATTTTTTATTGATTATTGAAAAGAATAGCAAATATAGGATATCTGTAATGTCCTTTATATTGTAAGAATTAATATCAGAACTGATCTTAACGAGCGCGTAGGTTATATTTAATTCATAAAATCTATGGATCAACCATACGACACCATACGATACAACACGCTTCATTATTAATAAGATCTTGTGCATAGAAAGTTCAAAATATTCATCAGTAAAACATCAAATTTACAGCTCTTTACATTCTCAGTTTTGGATCAAGGTTCTCTTGACCCCATCTGGTCGTAACTTTTCGTCTCCAAGTGAAGAATTCTACCCCACCATCGCCGGTGATATCAACAAAGTTACCAAACTTGGAGCGATTTATTCCTCCAAAAGAAAATGGCTCCCTATAAAGTGAAAAGGTTAACTTCTGATAGAATGTGCACAAGTACCTACGATCAAAGTTCTCAAATATTTACCTTGGCACCGGTACACCAATATTCACACCACACATTCCCGCGCTGAATCGCGCAATAAACCATTCAGCCGTTGCACCAGTTGTGGTATATATACACGCAGCATTACCGTATGGATTATTATTTTCGATCTCAATTGCCTCCTCTTTGCTTGAACATTGATAAATGCTCAGTACGGGACCAAATATTTCATCATGTAAAGCCTTGTCTTCTTTATTGTTATGCAATATTACGGTTGGTCCAATCCAGAAACCTTCAATTCGGCTTTGAGTCCATGAGCGACCATCTACTAATATTTTTGCGCCAGCTTTTTCGGATACATCAATATAACCAAGTATTTTATTTAACGATTGTTGATCGATCACCGGACCAATTTCTCCAGGTTTTGAGCCAGGTTGTAAAGACGAAGCTTTACTGACGATACGATTGAGAAGTTCCTCATGCGAACCAATAATTAATAATACTGAGGCAGCCATGCAACGTTGACCTAATTTTTACGTCTATTATTACTAGGATCGTTAACTACTCGACAAAAATAAACAAGATAATACCTGCACAGCCGGTGAAAGAGTTTACAACATCAGTTGAGGTTGTTTCAATATTACAATCCGGCGCGGCAACCAAATGATTCTACGGAGAAACATAAACGTTGTGTAATAAACTAATCGTAACAAGTCTATGAGACTTCAAATTATTTACCTTTGCTCCACCTAGTGCCAGGACTCTTTTCCCCAATTTATGGCATCTTTCTGTAATGAGATTTGCCACGTGAGAAGTACCCACAAAGGTTACTGCCTTGACATCCGGGTGATCAGCAATAGCATTGACAGCTAAAAGACGAATTAAATAAGTTATTGATTTTACCAATACAAATCTCACGATTCATAAGTAGCATCCCTCACCATTCTCGGTTCCATGTATGATATTAACGACACCATCAGGTATTCCAGCTTCTTTCAACAGACCGACAACGCGAGTCATCGTGAGTGGAACCTTTTCTGAAGGTTTCAATATTAAGGTGTTCCCCGTAGCGATTGCAATTGGCAAAGTCCACATGGGAACCTAAAAAATCAATCTTAGATGGGGAATACTCAACGAAAGAAAAGCCAATGATGTCAAAAATATACTAATTACCATTATTGGAAAATTAAATGGTACAATAGATGCCACTACACCCAACGGAACTCGTGTGTCGTGACATGTAACACCTCTGGAAACGTCTAACAATTTTCCTTGAATCTATTAAAAGTGAAGATGAGATTGATATTTTCGTACTGAATCATGAATCATGAAAAAATATATCATAATATATAATATACAATTTACCAATTGCGGAAGAGACATGGCGTATTCCACAGTCTCAGCACCCTTAGCAATACTAGCAATAGCCTTATGAAAAGTGGGCCATTGTTAAAAAAAGAAATTATAAAGTTATAGAAATTGGAAGCGCGACATACTTCGGCCTTATTCTTTCCATGCTCCAATATAATTAGTTCAGCCAATTCGTCAATGTGTGCGTTCAATAAATGGTGAAAGCGGATCAAAAACTGTACACGGTCCTTAACCGTGCGCGCACTAAGAAAAGAATAAATTACATGAGCAACTCGATTATTTCCGACGCATGATAGTCAATGGATTAAATTTTCTTGCCTCCATGCTTTAAATGCCTCTTTTGCGGCTTTTACAGCTTCTTCTACGTCTTTCGAAGTAGAAATCGGACATTGTGCAATTACTTTACCCGTGTGGGGTGTTGTGACTGCAGTGTACTTGATGGATGCAGTTTCGACAGGATCCACATATTTCCCGTTGATAAAATTTTGAATTCTTGGAGAATCGACGTTTAATAAATCCATTGCGGTGAGAAGAATGTTAAATTTCGAATGAAGGCAAATATATAGGCGCTGTGTCACCCGAGTCACCTAACTTGAATAGGAAATTATCTGTAATGCAATTACAATAATTAACTATCTTTGGACCAGATCTCAAATCAAAAGCTAAAAACAATCTTTAAATTGCAAGAAAAAAAAGAACCCCGGATACTTTATCGCCGAAAGAACTTTACAACGGAGATAATCAAAGAGTTTTCGGAATTCTAAAACTGTAAAATTTCAAATACTGATAAATTATTGATATAGATAACTTTGTCATATTAAATCATCATATTATTTGTTTTTTGCTCAAGCCCACATTATGTAAAATTAATAACTATTTTTTAAATTTGGAACCTGGAATATAATATAAATATTTAGAAAATATTTTTTATTATAAATAATAAAATATAACAAAATGAGATATTAAAAAACTTTTAATAATAGAAATTGTAAAATATTCGATTACGATGTTACACTAAATGTCATGTGATACACCTGCGGGATTCGCATAACAGATAAATGAACCCAACCATAACGATAGTGCAGTGGTTGCAATAGAAACTATAGAAATTTTTGTTTTCACGCATTTTATTAGAGAATCCACGAAAGCAAAACATGTCCCTCACACAAAGCGAACAAGTGCTGGTTAATACCAGAGCCGGTGGAGTTTATATTCCACCAGCTCGACTACGGTTGATGCAACAAAAAATCACGGATAAAGCAAGCGAAGAGTATCAAAGGATTACTTGGGAAGCACTCAAAAAAAGTATCAATGGGCTTATCAACAAAGTACTTACTGTTATTTTAAAATTATTTTCATGCTTTACTATTTACTTAATAAACTATTCAGTATTCCATCTGTTTTAACTGTTAGGTTAATACTTCCAATATCAAAAACATTGTTTTTGAATTAATCAATGAAAACCTAATTCGCGGGAGAGGTCTCTTCGCAAGATCAATAATGAAGGCACAAGCAGCATCCCTACCATTTACACCCGTTTATGCTGCGTTGATCGCGATCATAAATACCAAACTACCGCAAATAGGAGAATTGGTGCTGACCAGATTGATAGTGCAATTTCGTAAAGCATACAGGCGAAATGATAAAGTAGATGAGCTAATGGATATCGATCAGTGTTAATGCTTTTCGTCATCATCACCAGATAAAGCTAATTATCTTGTTATTTGTTTAATATAATAGACGACCTGCCTTGCCACAACAACTTTTGTCGCGCATCTATGTAATCATCTTGTGGCACACGAAATAGTTGCGCTACAGATTCTCGTGCTTCTACTTGAAAATCCCACTAGCGACTCTGTTGAGGTGGCAGTGGGATTCATACGTGAAGTTGGATCACACTTGGCCGAGGTATCCCCAAAAGCGAACAATGACGTTTTCGATCGATTCAGAGCAATATTACACGAGGCAAACGTTGAAAAGAGAGTTCAATACATGATCGAAGTACTATTCCAAGTACGAAAAGACAAATATAAAGATAATCCACCGATTTCACCAGAATTGGATCTTGTAAAGGAAGAAGACCAAATTACCCATCATATATCGTTGGATGATGATGATTTAGATGTTCAAGAGACTCTTGGTTTGTATCCTGAATTTTCTATTTCTTTATGGTTTATTCTTTATTTAAGAAATCTTTTTTTCATTAGGCGTCTTCAAATATGATCCGGACTATTTGCAAAATGAGGAAAAGTACAAAGAAATCAAATCTCAGGTTTTAGGGGAAGATTCAGACGAGGATGAGGATGACGATGATGATGACGAATCTGGTTCGGGAAGTGATGAGGAGGATGATAATGAAGGTAAGTAATATGCAATGAATATTTTACTTGGGTTGACAAGAATATCTAACAAAATTATATGAAATCTTAAGAAATAGCGAAAAAGATCGAAATCCACGATCAGACAAACACCAATTTGATAAATTTGCGAAGGACTATTTACTTAACGATAAAATCTAGTGTCGATTTTGAAGAATGTTGTCATAAACTTATGAAGCTTAACATTCAGGAAGGACAAGAAGTATGTATGATGACCATTAAAAATTCCTATTCAATATCTTACATTAAACATCTGGACTGATATTTCCTTAGATTGAACTTTGCAACATGATAATCGAATGTTGTTCACAAGAGCGCACATATGAAAAGTTTTTTGGTTTAATCGGGGAGCGTCTTGCAAAAATCAACTTGGTATGGGCCAAGGCCTTTGAACAATGTTTCGTTCAATACTATGAGACCATCCATCGATATGAGACGAATCGATTACGGAACGTATCTAAATACTTTGGTCATCTGCTTGCGTCGGACGCTCTATCTTGGCAAGTTTTTAGTGTAATCAGACTCACTGAAGATGATACCACATCTAGTTCTAGAATTTTCGTCAAAATATTATTTGAGGAACTATGTGGTACATTGGGAATGGTCAAGCTTAAAGAAAGGTTGAAGGATGAGACAATGCAAGAATATTATATTGGTCTCTTTCCAAAGGATAACCCGCGAAACACTCGATTCGCTATTAACTACTTCACTAGCATTGGTCTTGGTATTTTAACTGACGAGCTGAGAGAACATTTGCAAGTATGTTACGAAAAAATGCATAACCGTCTTGTTATTATAATTGTCTAAATTAGGAATAATCAACCTTCTTTCAATTAATTTCAGAATCTGCCAAAGTTGCTTCTGTCTCAAAAGCATAATATAGAAAGCGATGATAGTTCCTCGGACTCGAGTGACTCATCTACAGACTCGGATTCATCATTATCTTCTTCTTCAAGCTCGGATTCCAAATCACGCGTATCGAGATCACGTTCCAAGAGGAATAAGCGCAAATAAAGTCGAGCTAATAGCTTATCAATAAACAACAGTTCACAATTAAATAATTTAATGAAAAAATCTCAAGTGCTCGTCTTCGAGCTAAAAAAAATTTTATCATTTAAATATTTTCGCAGAAACTGAATGATAAGATGTAAATCAAGCTTTCAATTGGAGGTCAATGAACTTTTCGTCATCCCAATTATAAAAATTACCGCTCATCTCTTTAGTAGCCCTACCACTGACCAACGCTGCTATCACGTGGCCAGGGACCTCGGGCCCAAGTAACATATTTTTTTCGTGCAACATAGTGTATTTTTGATGTTGTTCTGGAGGCATTGCTGGTGCTCCTTGTTCATTGAAGTTTGGAAATGATTTACGCGAAAATTATAAATAAATAAATTATTCAAAGGAATAAACGAAGATGCTTACCTAAATCTCTAATAACTTGTTGCATCTCAGTATCGACTACGCCAGGTCGAATTGACAAGGCGATTATATCTGGTTCCTCAGAGGCCACACAACTCGTTAACATCTTCAACGCGGCCTTTGAACTATTTTTACGTAAAGCAATTAACATAATCGTATTATACTTTTCATACTTTTATATGCAAGCATTATCTTATTGCCAGAAATTTATTACGTGCAATAAAATCCAAAACCTTGACTCGGATAATTGGCCAATCCTGAAGACACAGTGACGATACAACCTTTAGAGGCGCGCAGATGTGGAATTGCCTTTTGGAAAAGTACGGCGACCGAAAAAAAGTTTAAATCAAATTGGCTATTAGGTGAATAAGCGGCGTTAAGTACGCGACAAAATATATTCCAATATCAGCGGAGTAATTGATCGATCGTCAATAAAGTACCTTTTCCAATCTTGTATATTGGCATCAGCAATTTTGGCCATTGGTTGTATGGTGCTAATTCACACGTTATAAAGGTTACGAATTACATCAACCTTCATAGAATAAATTCATTATTCGTAACGTACGCGGCATTAGCAACGATACCATCTAATTTTCCCCACGCGTCCAAAGACTTTTGCACAGCCCGTTCGGTTATTTGGTCGTCGGTAACATCGCCAATCACAATTTCCAATCTTCCCAACAACCCTAGATCTTTTTCAACGTGATCTTTCAGACTATTGAGGTCTTTTTCGGAGCGAGCAACCGCCACGACATTGCTATTAAAGTGCTTCAACAGTTGAATGGTTATAGCTCTTCCTATACCACGAGACGCTCCAGTTACAATTATTGATTTAAACATGGATAGGAGGATATTAGCAATAGAGATTTTTTATTTATAATTATATATTCCTATTTTAAATTGTGATTGGTCACAAATTTTCCAGTACTAAATAAAATCACAATTGGAGCGGCATAAAACCTCATTGCCTAAATTATGACAGATACAGATATCACAGTAGACTTTGTGAAATTAACTTCAGAAGTTCTCGATTTACAAACAGTTGTTAATATTGTCAAAGACAATGGTGCCGGTGCGATTTCAACATTTAGCGGAACCACGCGCGACACCTACCGAGGTAGCCTTATTTCTGAATTACTGATAATATTTGGCTTTTTGTTTTTTTATTGATACATATTTTTTATGACAAGTAGATAAGAAAGTCGTTAAGCTAGATTATGAGGCATACATTCCAATGGCCGAAAAGGTCCTGTTTTCAATAATTTCTGAGGCAAGGTCTAAATGGGAGTTAAAAAAAATTGCAGTTTATCATCGCCTGGAAACTGTTCCTGTGGGAGAAAATAGTGTTATAATTGCTGTATCTAGTGTCCATAGGAAAGAATCTCTTCAGGCTGTTGAATGGTTAATTAATCAACTAAAAGAAAAGGCACCGATTTGGAAAAAAGAGATTTATAGCGATGGAAGCGTGTGGAAAGAAAATAGAGAGAACAGAGTTTGCTGTTAGAAGAAAAGTTGACTTCCGATTAGCATCGTGAAGTTTCTAAGTTAAATGTTCATACTATGAATCAAATAGAGAGATATGTCATTATTACTTGATTTCATCGATATTGAACAATCCTAAAGTTGTGCACGTCTATCCAAATTAATATTCGCCGCCACCTCTCTCACCACCACCACCACGGCTGATATTTCCAATTTGTTGTCTTCTTTGGGCATCCAATTTCGGACACACTGAAATCCGATGACCCAGTCCACCACAGAACGTACATCCTTTGCATTTTAAGATTCGTTAGCATAAGATGCTTTATTGTAAACTTCAAAAATATATTGTTCTTACCTCCTGTTAAATCCTTAAGCGGATCATCTAAAGCCTCAAGAACAGGGGGAACACGTTGTTTGGCTTCCTTGAGTAAATGTTTCAAATCGAGTAAAATTTGTTCTGAACAATTCATGTTAATAAATGTGGTGGCCACGCCTGTTCTTCCAGATCGGCCTGTACGTCCGATTCTGTGCACTGCAAATAAACAAATGGATCAAAATGATTCGACCATATATAGCGGAACCATTATCAGTATTTAAATGAATTCTTTGCCTAAATACCATAATTTTCAATTTCCTTAGGCATGTCGTAATTAATAACGTGTTGAATGTCTGGAAAATCTAATCCTTTTGAGGCTACGTCAGAGGCGACTAGAACATCCTTTTTGTATTCTTTAAACGAACGGATTGCAAATTCACGCTCCTCTTGACCTTTTCAAGTAACCATACATGCATAAAATTAATAAAAGTTAATGCGCTAAATATCCAAATTGAAGCACCTAAAAGACAAACTTTTTCCTCCATGAATTGCCACGGCTTCAACACCTTTCACGAGAAGATACTCATGAATATCGTCAACATCATTTTTGTTTTCAGCAAAGATAAGTACCTACGGAATATGAAATGATCATAAGCTTCGAAATATTTAAGAATAACAAGAAGTACCTACCGGTGGAGGAGTCTTCTGCAAGCATTCCAATAAATACATGATTTTTGCTTCCTGTTTTACGTATTCCACCTCTTGAATAACATCTAAGTTAGCGGCACCTGCTCGACCAACATTAACAATCACAGGTTTAACCAATGCTGATCTTGCAAAATCTTGAATTTTTTTAGGCATAGTAGCCGAATATAACAATGTCTGTCTCTGATTCTAAACGACACGCGAATAAGTAAATAAGTTAATCAAAAATCAAATCAAATAAAATCAAATAAAATAAAAAATGACAACGACTATCAACTCACTGTGAAGTACGACATGATAGTTCGAACATCATCCTCAAACCCCATGTCAATCATACGGTCAGCCTCGTCCAAGCATAGGAACCTAGGAAAAGCTTAGTGTCATGAATGGTCAAAGTCAAGGTGCAAATTGTAATCACAACGGACGAAAAACTTACTTGCACAAATCCAAATTGAATTTCTTTTTCTCCAACATGTCAATTAACCTTCCAGGCGTAGCAACCACGATGTGAATGCCTTCCGATATTGTGTGCCATTGATCTGACATAGATATACCCCCAATACACAATAGTGACCTTAATTTCGGATATCCATCCCTCGTTAAGTGTTCTATCATCGCGCTTATACTCTCGAACGTTTGACGTGCCAGTTCACGCTGTTAAATCATAGTTCAACTTGAATCGAGAATCCTGTGCATTGGTGATAAATATTGGGAAAACTTACCGACGGACAGACAATCATTCCTATAGGACCCTCACCCCTGATCAACGGAAGTTTACATTCCTCTTCCAGAGCAAACATGACTAACGGCAAAGAAAATGCCAGAGTTTTTCCCGATCCTGTAAATGCAATTCCGATCATGTCCCGCCCAGCCAGTCTAAAAATTCACAACTTCACAGTTAATCTCTTACCACATTGATAAAGAAATTTTCAATGTCATTCCTGCAATTAATACGTAATTCTTCTTACACGACCGGAAGACCCTGGACCTGAATTGGTGTTGGGCGGTGGATACCTTTTGATTTTAAATAATCTAATATCGCAGGCGGAAATTTCATATCCTATTGTAAGATTAGCGATTTTATATTCATAATTTTTCCAAAAGCAACTTAGAGATAGTGGTCATTACCCTAAAATGTTTAATTGGTGGTGGAATTTGTTCCCCGTCTACAAGGATATGATATCTCTGACGGATAGCATCATGTTCTTTTAGCGGTTGCTCCCTTATGTATCGAGGTGGTCGCCACCTGTATACACGAATATATTATTTATTACTTCGCCTACAAAGAATATCTTAGAATGATATTAGGTTATACCGACGTTGTTGTCATGGGCTCTGTATAAATAATTCCTTTTGCAAGTTCTCGATCTGAGGCTAGAAGCTTTCGTTGAGAAACTGCTTGCATTATTGCCTTTTCTTCTTCAAGTTTTTTTTCGGCATCCGTTTTTACCGAATCTACAAAAATTTGAAACAAGTTATGACGCGTTTGTTTAAAAAGCATAATATTTATTACTCTGCGCATACCTTCCAACATTTTCTGCTTTTTCACTTCTACTGCCTGATCGATCAGACTCGCGTTTGCTTTTGGACCAGCTTTGTGAGTGTCTTCTACTTCATCGTCGGTTTCTCCATTATTTTGTTGTTCGGGGAAACGCCTT